AGATACAATATACCAGAATATACAAGGCTCCATGTTGTACACGGAGGGAAAGAGTTTGTTTTGTTTCTTTGGCTCTATGTACTGTAAAATCTGTATTAGAAGCCGCGACTTCTATTAAAATGGTACAATGCAACGAAAGGGATGTGGCTTCTATTAGAGCATCTACACATATGAGAAATGATAAATTTTTGGTTCTCAATTGTTCAAAAAGAATGGTGCGACTTCTATTAAAGATGCGGCTTCTAATACAGATTTTACGGTAGTATACAGAGATAATCATCATTTACCTGGTTGCCCTTGGAGCAGATTCCTCCTCATCCAGTGGCCATCCAACAACTGAGGCTTTTATATTGTGTGCATTTAAATACTTTGCAGTAGCTACAGTGGCAGATAGCTAAATAAAATATACAAATGTAGCTGGTTATAATATCCAATTACACAAATATTAACAAATGTTAATTTCTCTTTGCCATGTGAACTGACTAATACTGGCTATATTATGGCACTTGGAATTGAATTAAAATAAAAACAAATCTAAGGGTACACTAACAAGCTGGAACTGCACTTGAATTTGTTTCAATGAATGTATGACAAGCCAGTTATTGGAGACTCCAACACCGGATTTGTCAACCAATCAGAATGAACCATTAGCAGCACATGTGTTATGTAAACAAGTCCATGATTCCAAATCCCAATGTTTATTACAGTATGACTTGCACAAAATTTAATATTAGCTACTCGTATAACATTATGGGATGGTATGAGCCTGAACTGATCACTGAATACACAGTACTCACATTGGTATGATGCTGAAAATATTACTGAATTCACAGTACCCATATTGCTATGGGACTGAATTAATCACTGATTTAACAGTACATATACTCACATTAAATCCCAGTTGATTAAGCTTCAATGCAGTAGGTAAGAACTGAGGCTGAAATGAATGCTGGATTCCGATCAAGATATTCTTCTTTGGTATTTTAAATCCGGTTGAAAGCAGAGCCTTGATAAAAGCTGTGTGTACATTTGGACCAAAGCAGGCAACCTGTCAACAAAATTCAGAGATACAATTAAACATAGACTCAAAAGAAATAACTCACGATTTCAATTTTGTGTGAGCCTAGACCCTAAGGATTCTATGGTTTATGATGCTAGGCACAATAAGATACCAAGATTGACCTTGCTATGATTATGAAAAAAAATAGAAATTGGCTCCCTCTATCAATGCTTCATTATTTTGATAGTGCACTGCTGGAAACATGGAGTGTCCAGGTTTCAAATAAACCGATAAGGCTTGTATTCAGGAACTATGATTTGAATAAACATGAGTAAACAAACGACCAATCAGTGCATGTTTTAGAACAAAAGTACAGATCATCCATCTGCTTGTACAAGTAAATTGATTGGTTCTTTGTAATGGAAGAGGCACATGCTGATTGGTGCATTTATAAGTTACTGAATATTACAATGCAGACATATTTTATAACATCTTTCTTGTTGTCAGGCCGCCACAAAGAGGCTTAAAGTTTTACAGTGTTGATGGCATTATAAATGATCAACAAAACAAGGCAGTCATTGGCATTGGCATTCAGTCATGTCTGATGGTGAGCCATCTTATTTAATGACTTTTTGGAATTAAGTATTATACAGTTATCTTAGCTACAAGATTGTATAAAATAAAATAATTTAAAATTTCCTATTCTGTGATATCTTTCATACAGCGAGCTGCAATTTAGAAACAAAAATAAAAAATTGACAGTGCCTCAAAATAAAAAAAAAATAATTCACTTTATTTTAATTTTTCAGATTCTGTATTTTTTTTTTCATAAGTATTTGTTATTCAACATCATCTTTTATTGTACTTTTCAAGTCAACATTCTAATTAAAATACGAGTATAATAAAGTTATTATTATAATTCATTACCTCTCCAGTAGATGCCATTTCACATCGTAACAATGGGTCTGTGTCTCGTAGTCTTGGCCATGAAAACATAGGAGCCTGAAATGAAAGTAAAGTTGTTATTATAATTAAAAGATTATCAGCATACAAAAAAAAAGTACAGAAGATAAGCATGCTATTGTGGAGGCTGACACCATATAAGGTCTAAGCTTACAATATTCTGACAATAACCTGGGCTTTGTACAGCCTCTGGATCCAAACATTTAGTGCAATAGTAGAAATTCGTACTTAGTTTATTATTCTACAAACTTTTTCCAAAGAAGTCTGCCATCTTGGAAAGATTGCATAATCATTCCATATTTGGAATTCGCATTTCCTAATACAGTAAGAGGCAGATACCATGTGCAATACTTCAAAATATGGCACATTGACACAACATGACAGATTAATTCTATATTATCATAAATTGAATTCAATAAATATACCTTTATTCCTACATAGTCAACAGGATTAATTGGATCTTCTAATGTTGGCAGGTGACTGGTATCAACTTTTTCACCCATCATGACTTGGGTTGCTATTTTTATAAGATCAGTGTCGATAGTTTTGGAAACAAATGGAAATGACCTTGAAGCCCTCAAATTGGTCTCAATAACCTGAAACATACAAGAAGTATGAAGGTGAAATTAATATGTTCTTAATTATATTTGGCGTAATACAACAGGAAAAAGTTGATGGCGGTTGAGTTGAGTTGGGCTGGGCTGGGCTGGGCTGGGCTGGGCTGGACTGGATTTGGTTTGGTTGAGTAAAGTTGAGTTGAGTAGGATTGGGTTGAGTAGAGTAGAGTCCAGTTGGGTCGAGTCGAGTAGGGTCGAGTCGAGAATTGGGTTGAGTCGAGTAGGGTCGAGTCGAGTAGGGTCGAGTCGAGAGTTGGGTTGAGTCGGGTCGGGTCGAGTCAAGTCGATTTGGATTGGGGCGAGTGAGTTGGGTTTGGGCGAGTTGGATTGAGCTGGGCAGGATGGGTAGGTATGGGCAATCACTGTAAATGAAATTAGGTCTGTCCACATAAAAAAAAAGTACTGGTTGAATGAACACTATTTTTTATTTGTGAATATTGTAGCCCAATTTTGTTATTGTGTTCCAAAGCAAATCACAAGGTAACAAAGTCTCAATGTTTTGTAGAAACCCTGGGTTGAAACATAATACACAGTAATTTAAAAATAGGTTTCAAGACTACTTTAGTCAGATAAAGTGCCCCCCATCTACATATATGAGGTCTTTTGAATTAGTAATGCCATCATCTGAACAGCAAGAATAACAAGTATGTATATTTTTCACTTAAAGGATTCTAATAAAAAAAAACAGTAGCGACAATAATAAGAATCCATGTAGTTATAGTAATAACGATAATTCCATATTTACCATAATATCATTATCTTTAGCCAAGAACTGAGTATTAAATGGACCAGATATATTGAACCTCTTCGCAATCTGTCGTGTAGCTTCTCGTACCTGTAGTGGTGAAAAAAATTGGACTAAATAGATTAAAAAATGTTTTATATATACTAGTAAACTGTAGCATTGTAAAATGCAATCATCCTTTTTTTTTATGGAAGTCAAATTGTTTCTATGACAACAATTACTACAGCTAAATGAATTATCTGCGATACAAATTCTGAGTATTCTATGCTCTTCAGGAATTCACAGAAAACCTTCATATCAAATTACATATGGCTGGACATTAAGAGAAATTAACTTTTCCACCACAGACATTCTCGTTCAAATTTTTCTGGACTTTTTTCTTATATTCGTCTGATATTTCTGGAAATGAATCCTAATTTTAGAGCCAACAGACTAAACTTGAGTCAATTTTCAGTTTTTACTAAAAAAAATTGGCTATTTTTGTCCCAATGTTCTGAAGGAAAGTGCAGACTATAAACGGGACTATTTTGTGAATTTGTGATGAAAAGAGAAAACTGGTAGTGAAAGGGTTAAGGTTTTTGTATCTCATTGACTGTTGCCTAGGTGATAGCATCCTACCTTCCTCAGTGCTTCATCACTTATAGTTTGTGTGGGCAAGATTAATGTTGCATCCCCGGAATGTACTCCAGCGTTTTCTACATGTTCGGATACAGCATGGGCAACAACCTAAAATAGATAAACATTGAACTTGAATGTCAGATAGGCCTAGTGCAAAGTACGCAAATGACATCACTATGTAAAGTGATAAATTTTACAAAAATAGATAGTGACACAGACATATTTATAATGTGTGCAATCAA